TCCGGGCCCCACACAGAGGTGGATGGAGACAGCTCTTTTCAATAAGCAGCTCTGAACCTGCTCTAGCAGGCAGGCAAAAAAATTTCTCTAGGCCCTAAACCCAGATAAGCAACCCCAAATATACCATTATGTGAAAGAAAGCAAATGATGTTAGAATTCTAGCTTTGCCTGTGACTAGCTGTGTGGCCTCAGGCAAGTGTGTTAATATCTCCTAGTTTTGGTTTCCTCTTCTGGAAAAAGAGGTATCATAAATCTTTATCCTAACTACCTTACAGGTGTGCCATGAACAGCAAATGCAATTGCTCTTGTGAAAGTTTTGTAAATTATGCACTTCTGTGTAGGAGAAGTGCTCCTCATTGATAACAGCAGGCAAAGAATGAGAAAACCTCTCCGACAGGAAATGAAAACTCCTGTCTGAGAGCTTTGTTCTGGAGGCCTTAGAACCCATCCAGCGTTTACCATGATATTATCGTTGTTGGACTTTGAAAAGCCTTTAAAATTTTAATCGGTGTTCATTACTGAATTTCTACTTAATTTCTGCTCCTACAGCTAATTTTTGCTTTGCGTTCATTTCCATATCATCTGCAAAGAATATTTACACAATGTTTATTTAAAAGCTTACACAACATGAGATATAAAAGACTCAAACCCTTTTCTGCAAACACATGCATGAATTAGACTTATTTATATTTATTTTCTGCTATTTTTGTTTAGTGGATTTTAATATCATCTCTTTACATAAATAAAGAAAATGTGAATGTAAACTCTTTGACCTCTGGTAAATCTTAACCATCCCTAAGTCACTCCTTCCTTGCAAACACAGTGTTTGCAAATGTTTCCAATTTCAACGCTATTTTTATCTTGAAAACACAAAAAAGATTTCTATCATTATTTCTTCTTTGTTTCATTCCCTGTTAAGAATTTCACTTCCCCACTTCCCTATTCATTACATTCTTGCACCTCACTGGCTTAATAAATTCTTTTGACACCTACTGCCCCTTCCTCCTCTTGCTCTCCCTCCTCCAAGAATGGCGCCCATCAATATTGCATGCCAGGGGTGTGCTTGGAGAGCCAGGTCTGACAGCGCCCTGTCCCAGCAGGGAGCCTTCTCCCTTCTGTTCCAACTCAGTGATGAGAGGAACCCCTCCTCCTTCTGCCTCGAGCGCCGGCTGCTAACAGCAGACCGGGAGACAGATGTTTCCAATCCTCAATAGTATTGCAAAGACCACTTGAAATGGTTTCCACTTTAGTTTCCTACCTTAAAAGTTTAATGCTCCATAGACACAGGCAACAATATGGTGATTACCAGAGGGAAAGGGAGGTGGGGGGAAGGGGAAAGGTGTAGAGAGAGGATAATGGTGACAGAAGGAGACTTAACTCGGGGTAGTGAATACACAATATGATGTATTATAGAATTGTGCACCTGAAACCTATGTAATTTTATTAACCAATGTCACCTCAATAAATTCAATTAAAAAGTTAAATGACTTAAGATACATTTTTAGAAAAGTTTAATGCTCAAGTATACTTGTAACTAAAAGGTATGAGTAGTGCTCAGGAAAATGCAATCATTGCTTTCCCACCCCCCCTGCCCCTGGTAGGAAAAGTAGAATTNAACTAAAAGGTATGAGTAGTGCTCAGGAAAATGCAATCATTGCTTTCCCACCCCCCCCCTGCCCCTGGTAGGAAAAGTAGAATATAAAAAGCTCAAGGCAGATAGTGTAATATTAACTATGACACAATGAAAGTAAAACTTCACTCCTGATCTAAGAGAATGAATTTCATACTGGAAGCAAGGAAGAAAAACTGGGTTAAGAGGAAATGGAAATGAAGGGGCAAAGGGGGTAGTAATGAGTTTCCAAGCTGCGAATAACCTTAAGATTCCAAATATAAGCACATTTCCAAGTACTTTGATAACTTAAGATTTAATAAAACTGTGTTGTTATTCAGCGAGAATGGAGATAATATTAAAAGTCTAAAAGGAGTCAAAAATTGTTTCGCTTTTCTAAATAGACGGGGGAAAAAGCCATAGGTTGGTGAGATTCTAGTAAAATTTTATAATTAGAGAGGAAACAGTGATAGTGGGGTTTTATTAAGGGGAAAATATGACACATTTTAATTGAGTCCTCAGAACTGATAAAAATAATTATCAAGAACTAAGGAATCTCTAAGATTTAACCTTACTTGTGAGCTACCAAGTAGGCTGCCAGTTTTGTAGATGCTGATATAAGGCACAAGAATCCTGGTCAGAGACTAAGTACAGTTCATTACTCACAGCAATAGCACTATCCAGAGTATTATCATTTTTGTGCCAATTTCCTGAGCCCCGGTTCCTCAAGAGTGATGCAAAGAGGGTCAGACAACATCTACACACCCAGTGGTTGAATTTCAGGAATGGACCCCTGGGCTTAGGAAACCTGAGTCTTTTATCATGGGAAGTAGACATATCTGCCATTTGCTCCAGAGGTAAGCACTATCTTTATCTTCTAAGGCGTGTGCTCAGCAATTGCCTTGAAAAGATAGTCAGGAATGTGCAAAAACATGAGAGCTCCATGGAGAATTGTCTTCCAACAGTATTAAAAAAATAGTAACAACTTCCATCACTCACTGAGTGTAAAATGAGGCCATAGATATAAGCTAACTTCTAGGTTATGTAGTATTTAATATATAAACGACAGGTAAAGACTAGAGAAAAACCCATTGCAAGTGCCCATTGCCATTATAAAGGAATATGATATGTCCCTGGCAATATCCATGTGAGTGAAATGGAAAGATGTGAACAGGACAATGTACATTTTAATGGATTTATATTTGGCTGAACTAAATAACTCAAAGTATTGGTGTCAGACTGACTGGAGAGACGTTTCAAGCGGTGTCCTTGAAAAGGTCTCTGTCTTTGCCCTACTCTTGTATTACAATGTCATCAGTGATTGGAATGAGAACATAAATGGCAGGCATATCAGATTTATGGAAGATGAAAGACTGGATGAGACAGCCAATATTTGGAGGAAAGACAGCATTAAGAAATAGATGTCCTGAAATTTTGCCTGAAGCTATTAAGGTGAAATAAAATAGTTAAATAAAATTTCTGTACATAGGTGCAAAAGCCATCATAACTATAGAGACCACATAACTACAGAGACTTAGCCTAAGATCCTTTCATATTAGAAATACGTAGAGTGGTTAGTTTACCAAATTACTCAGCTTTCTTGGGGCTTTATTGCCTCATTTTATAAAGGAGATGCTTAACCAGATTATCTTCGTCTTCCCATCTAACTCAAACTTGGTAAATAATATTTATTAAATAATTACTTGATTGAGAATAATCTAAGGCAACAATTTAGTAAGTCGTTGATAAAACTGCATACTCCAAATCAAAGAAAAGAGCAGTCCCCCTGCAGTGTCTACTTGAGCATTACATGCATTTCAAGAAGCCCCATTTTAGTGAAGACATTGAAACACTGACAGACATCTGTACAAAAGTGAAGACAGAAATATAGGGAGAGATCTGGAAACCATGGTTTTCTAGCTGAAGTTTAAAAAGCTGAGGAATTGAGAGGATGTTTGGTCTGAAATACAGAAGACGTTTTAGAGACATGATAACAATCTCTAAATCTTTGAAAGACTTTCATGCCAAGGTAGAGAGAAAGCAGGTCAAGGATACATGGAGAGAAGCATTAGAAAGATCATGTTCATTCTGGAAGATTGTGTTCATTCTGAGTAAGAATATGTTGTAAATTTAAGTTGATAATAGATGAGATTACACTCAGTAGTAGTGGACAATAATTTTGTCAAAAGCACTAACCAGCCCTGGCCAGGTAGCTCAGTTGGTTGGAGTGTCATCCTGATGCGCCAGGGTTCGATCTCCAGTAAGAGTGCATACAGGAGGCAACCAATGGGTACATGGATGGGTGGAGTAGCAGATCGATAATTTTCTCTCTCTCTCTTTCTGTATCTCTTTCTCTCTCTGTCCCTTCCTCTCTCTAAAGTCAATGGATAGGGGAAAAATGTTTACAAAAGCACAAAAATTACTAACCACACATCAGCATATTGTAGCGAGGTTCCAGCTTTGGACAGAAGGTGGTACTTATTGACCCCAAGTGCCCTGCATCCTCTTAAATTCTATGAGCCAATTATTCCTTAAACCACATTATCTGACAGTAGTTTTGAGAACTGTTGTTGAGAAGGCATTAGTTTTAGTCCCAGCTCCAGCACTGTTAGTTGTGAGACTTTGGGCAATCCACTCAACACCTTGGGACTGCGTCCTCACAGACCAGCTGATAACTTGGATTAATTTATCCATTTGTTTGTTGATTATAATCTTTGTAGAGATTTAAGGCAATTTTTTTAAAAAAATCAAATAAAGGTTTTGGATCTTTAAGTTTTATTCCATCCAGACTCTCATAGTATGAAGTACACAAGGAAAGAGATTTCATTTTAAATTGCCACAAAAATACAATTTAATATTCTCTCTGGTCACTTTTGAAAGAATGAATTTGCTGTACTAGCTGAACTATTCCCAAAAGTCATCTGAAGAAGTTTAATTCTAAGGTATCTTTGTTCTGAAGTGAATTTTTTGAAGTATTTTTCAAATTAGGTCCCCAAAACCCAAAAGTACTTAAACCCCTGTGAGACCAATAGAAAGTGTTATCAGAAAACATGGTTATGTAACCTCATAAGGACTCTGTTTCTTCTCATTCCATCCTGAAATTATCTGTACATGAGTTCAGAGGAAGTCACCAAAGGCAGACCTGTATCTGAGGGAAGGAGATCAAAGGGATGCTGGCAGACCCACTGTTATCATAAAGACCTCCAGTCTTGCAAGATCAAAGTCTCAGGATAAAGAGCATGTCTTCCAGTTTGGTTCTGCTTTAACCCCCGTTCTCCCAAAGAAAACTCCAAAAGGAAACTATTTGTTCAATTTTAGATCTAAAATCTCCAAGAGTACATACAAATAAATGCTATAGAAATGTCACTGATGCTGTCCTCTGCTCTCCTAGGCCACCCGTGGAAGACACTCAGACACTGTTGACCCCTGTGGTGAGCTGTGGGCCTCCGGGAGCCCTGTTGACCCGCCCAGTCATCCTCACCATGCATCACTGCGCAGATCCCAACACCGAGGACTGGAAGATACAGCTCAAGAACCAGGCAGCACAGGGACAGTGGGAGGTGAGCTTCTGTTGGGATAAAGATGGGACACAAGGGCAATCCATGCAGATAAGCGGGAGCAGCCATGGGAAGGCTTTTATTTAAAAAAACAAAAAACAAAAAAACCATGGATGGAATATTATCTTACACTCACAATGAAAGAGAGAGAGAAAGTGGGGGGGGGGGCAAAGAGAAGGGAAAAAGAGGGAAAGAGACAGGAAGGGGGAAAGACAGACAGACGGACAGACTGTTTATTGAAGACTTTATCTGTTGACTGGTACAAATAGAAAATGATGATTAAGGATGAGCTAGCTTCTTGGGAAAGTGCACTTAGGAGTTCTACATGAGTCCATTTTGGAATATATGTACTATATCTTGGGAAGGAATATATATATATATTTCAAATTTGCAGGTAGAGAAACATTGCGCCTGGCTCAGAAAAGGTTAGGTACTTACTTGCAAACAAGTCCCAGGAATCTAGTTCCTCTGAACCTAATCTGGGGAAACAGAAATAGTCTTCTAAGCTTCACTAAAATGAAGAACACCTATGGCTTCTTGCCTTTCTGTGGCTGTTGCCATCATAACTTCTTAAGGACAGGGCCTTAAGAAAATCCTCTTCTTGACATCAGAACCCCTCAGTAAGCACCCACAGTTAAGGGCAAAAGGATTTGTCATGCTTACCCTGAAGTTTTTATATCTAATACCTTTTTAAAAGTTTATATATTTTCATTATTATCCCTTAAATAAACAATATCTGTTGTTTAAGTAGAAACTAGCCAACTAAAAATAACATTTTAGATTATTCTCAGAAAAGCATATTTCAGGAATTTTTTAATTAAAAAAATAGAAAATAACTTTAAAAGCTATCCCTGTATTTTTGTGTAATCATTACAAAAACAAGTATCCAATTTATATGTTACATATTTTGTGACTACATTTTGTATTTTTTTTTAGAAAGAAATTTTTGAAAAAATATGCATACATATTCAAGACCCTAGGAAAAAGTGATATTAGAGTTTGAAGAGCAGCAGAGCATCCCTGAGATTAACTGGAATTTCCTCCTAAGGACATGTGCTTCTTTTAGCCACATGAGGATATCACTCATTGCCAGAGGACCTCCAGTACAGAATTGAAGTCTAGGGACAGACTCTATGTTAAGACCAGACTTGACCAAATCTAATTTCAGTTTCATTAAACTTTAAATGATTTATCTCAAAAACATTCCAAAGTCTTAATCTTAAGTGACCCCAAGTTGTTTGCACAGCTCTCTGCTTAATACCCTAGTACCTTATGTCTAGGTAATTTAAATAATAATAACAATTTGAGTAATAATAACATTTTTAATAATAATAATAAAAGAAAAGAAAGAGATGAGAAGAGAAGAGAAAGGACAACCTTTATGAAAATGCTCATACTTGTGACAGGGACATGGGGCACCTTTATTCTTGACCATATCTTCTAGGAGGCTTTCTGTAACATGCCATTATTAGATGATGCTAGATGCTTATGCTCACCCTGCTAGAGAAAGCAGCTTCATTCCAGGTGTCCTTTTGGGGTTGTAATAAACCTGGGGGTGCTGAGCTTCTATCTTTCTTTTCCAGTTTAGTTTGAGCTTCATCTTTGGGCACAGGTTCAGTTGAAGAAACGATTTCATGGATGCTATGAAAAACACAGCTCTTACTAGAGCTCAAATGATGTTGCATGGCCTAACTAATTAAACAGTCACCTGAAGGGGCTACTTCCTTCATATCTTTGTCCAGCCCCAGGGACGCAATTTATCGTGAAATACTCATTCATTTTTTGGACAAGTAACTATTTGCTCACCATGAGCCAGGCCCACTGAGATACAGTGGGAAGCAAAGTAGATATAGTTCCTGCCTCTGCAGAGATGAAGTAGCCTAATGCAGAGGGTGAGTTGTACCTGCATATGTATTTTACTTCTCCAACATGAAATTTTCTTTTAATTAATTAAAAGTAGGAAGATTTCACATAAAAATCTAAACTTCCAGCTTCTCTTGAAAAATTAAAGGTTGTGTATGCTCACTGGGCCTGCCTTTCTGCAAAGCTACAATGGACTGAAGCCAAGTGAAGACTGACCCCTTTAGACAGGCCTGTGCTCTGCTTTACCACAGTCTCCACCACTCCTTATTGTCTTCTGTGCTTTCTGCTACATTCCTATTACCTGAATGCCCTGAGAAGCAGGTGGAATTGTGACCCTTGATTTATGGATTCTATGGTTGGTCTTTCAGATGATTTCTTCTGTGGCCTGAGTCATTTGGATAAATTAAAACCTGGTAGAGTTAGTAACTACTTTCACAAAATTCATCACTTCTACTTATTTTTATTTCTTGGTAAATATTTTCAAAATCTAAGGATAGATTGTTTAAAGGCTTACATGAAAAATAACAGAGAAAATTATCTTAAAGGCCTTGAGTTGGCCATATTGTACTTTCTGTAGAGCCCAGCAGCCCAGATTATTGAGGAAAAGTAGTGCATTGCTTTGGAAAGTAATTGGTGAGTTTGGAAGAACATAGTAGAATGGTATCGCATCATTTCTTAATTTTTCTAATTCTTTTCAAACCCCTAGATTTTTATGGAGGAAAAACCACACAACACAACTATATTACAGTGACATTGAAATAAAATAGTATTTTTGGTTTCAATTAGAAATTTAGAGATTAAAAAATTAAATTCTCACAAACAGATAACAAACACAAGTACACTGAAGTTAAAAGGATGATTCATGAATTTTTTTTGGAATTTTATGTAGATTCTCAGAAAATCAAAATATGTTAAATGATGCCTCAATAAAGAATATGAGCAATATAAAGGCAAGGGAAGTAAGGGAGATGCTGACAAAGGATGGAAATAGAGGTATAATGAAGCCTGAGAAAGAAAAAAGAGCAGGAAAATTAATAAGCAAAACTCAGGAGAAGAGATCCTGCCGAATTTACCACCATTGGTCACCACCGCGGCTGCCAGCAGGATCCTCAGGGCTCAGTCACACCCCTTCCCTCTTGTCCCACAGGATGTGGTGGTGGTGGGAGAGGAAAACTTCACCACCCCCTGCTACATTCAGCTGGATGCAGAGGCCTGCCACCTCCTCACGGAGAACCTTAGCACCTACGCCCTGGTCGGGCAGTCCATCACCAAAGCAGCCGCCAAGCGCCTGAAGCTGGCCATCTTCGGGCCACTCTGCTGCTCCTCTCTGGAGTACAGCATCCGAGTCTACTGTCTGGATGACACCCAAGATGCCCTGAAGGTAAGTGGCTCCTGCATGACTCTCCCTTTGCCCCTTCACACCAAAGCCTAGGTTTGGTGTGACTGCGCACACCTAGAGAAAATGTACACGTGTGCACGTGCCCCTGTGCATGAACACAGTAGTGCCTCTTTTGGCCCCAAAAGATGCAATAAAAAAAAAGAGAGACATTTCTCTGAGGCCATGCTGATAGATGAGCTGTTTCCATTATACTGATTCCTCCCAAGAGCTACTTCTGTTTACCTTCCTTGATTTCCTTTAATGAAAAATTTAGGAGGGAGAATTTGGCAACGAGACCATGGATGGTAAGTAATCTGCTTCCATGTTTATCTCAGCTGTGTTCTTCCTATTAAAGTAACTGGCGTAATTGCTCACACTATATGTTTCTCTTGTGTGCTACTGCATTTATATGCTTTCCCATTCTTTTTATGAGGACTGCAAGGAAATGGGTTAGCATTTGACAACAGGCTGCTGCTTTGCAGAATAAAGGAGCTTAATACCTGGTGCTATTATTGCCACTCATTTTATCTCATTTGATGCTTTAAGGATATAGTCGGTGGCTTTGAAGTAGTTACAATCTAGAAGGAGGAATGAAAGAAGAATGCCAAGGACTAGGAGACAAGTCAAAGTGTGACAAATGCTAGAGGTCAAGGCAAAGTTCTATGAATGTTCAAGTGAGGGAGGCATCATATTATTTTAAGAAAATCTGAGAAGAAACTGACATTTGATATTGGCCCTAATAGAAAATATGGTTTGACCAACAATAATGGGAAAAAAATTCAAGATTTCTAGGTGAAGGGAACAGCATGAAGAAACACAGAGGGAACAGTAAATACAGACTCTAGACAAGCATATTAGAATGATAGATAGGAGTTTTATTGGGATGAATCTTGATGGCCAGATAGAGGAATTGAGATTCAGTTTCTTGAGTTAATGGAGAGTCGCTGGAGAGGTTTAAACAGAAGAAAGACATGATTGGAAATGTACTTTTAAAATATTAGTCTTGTCAGTGGAAAGATAGAGTCAAGAAGAAAAGCATGGTAGACTTGGGGTGATAACAGAGGCATGAGAAGAAGAAAATAGGTGTGAAAGGTCCTGTTCAAGTAGCTCTTGCAGGACCTGATGACTAATTGAATGGGAGGAGCAAAAGATCAAGTCTGCCTCAAGTAACAGTAGCAAACACAGGGGATAGGAAGCTTTGGGGTGTGGATATGGTGTCTTTGCTTTGGGAGTATTGAGTTAGAGATATGAACTAGATATCAAAACAGGGATGCCCAAGGGATAGAAATATAGATGTGGCTCTCTAAACAGAGAGTAGATCCTGAAATACGGTCTCAGGAACCAATTATATATTGATAGTTGTCACCCATGGTGATCAGAGAGAGTATCAAGGGAGAGTAGAGGAAGAAGAAAATAATAATAATAATAATAATAATAATAATAATAATAATAATAATAACTGAGAACTTTCTGTGTGCCAGGCAAGATTCTAAATAACTCATATGATCTTCACAAAAACCCTGTAACTTACCATTATCCCCATTTTACAGAAGTGCAATCCATAGCACAGAAAGGTTAAGTAAGTTGCTCTAGGTCACACAGCTATTGAGTGGAGAGCACAAGCTTCACTCACAGGTATCTGGCTCCAGCCTTGACTCTCCAGTCTGAAAGCGCGTTTCTTGAAGAGCCACTCCCTAGAACATAGGGACCAAGGAAGCCCTGGCATTGCAAGGGGGGGTGAGAGGCAGCTGGCTGGAGGATGAGCACCCGAGAAGGAAGAAGAGAAGTAGAAGAAATATGTGTCAAGGAAGCCAAGAGAAGCAATTTTTCTGAAAATCAAAGTATTCCCTTGTGGTGTTTCTATCCAGAGAGTATTTCTGGGTCATGAAAACTGAGTGCGGCAGGTTGGGTCCATAAAGGGAATGAGACAGTCAGTCACTGGATATATTTTTGATCGTCAAGCCTGTAGGAGTTTCTGATGTTGAATAAATGATGTGAACACACAGCTCAAGTGTAAAGCCTAAGGTTATTTCTTTTATATTCTTTGCAAATGTGGTACTTCTAAGGTACTATGAGGATAGAAATCATCCCAGGCTTAAAGTCTTCTTAAGGAAAACTGTATTTGCAGAGGAGCCGTGGGGTCTGATTAAGGCAAATCTTTTTAATGATTCCAAGAAAAAATCATTGCAAAAAGCATACTGTAGAAGATCTGCATCATATTTGAAATGTTTGATACACATACTCTATATTCACACACTTGGTTGTGACACTCAGGCACTTTCGACCTTTCTTCCCAACGACACACACAAATCCATGCAAACAAAATCGTAGTTTATAAAATAATTTTGATTATTTTAATTAGTGGTCAACACGGAGAAAGACTAATGTACAGGTTGAAGCAGTGAAAACAACCCAAGAGCAGTTTGTATCATGGCCAGTGCTTTCCAAATAGACATCTATAAATTCTCAGCATCTGCGGACCCAGCACTTAGCCTGAAACAAACATGAATAACGGGTAAGGTGTCTTGCACCTCATGGCCTTTTAATAGTGGAGAAATACCAAAACCTTAGTCACAAGTGAGCAGTCTACCCAGCTTATCAAGGAGACAATCAGTGCAGCCTACAAGCACTGCCTCACACCCACACTGGACTTGGAAACTTTCATTACCTCAGCTTTCTTGGCACCTGACTGCTAATGTCCCTACCAGTCTCTCCCCCGTATCACTACTTCTCTATTGTCTGTAATCCCCAAACACTACCTTTCTGTGTCACCCCTTCCAAATACCCCCTCCTTCTTCAGCCCCGCCCTACTCCTCACTTACGCTCTTCCTAAATCAGTAGTTCTGTACCCCACACACATAGGAACCAGGTGGGCAGATTTTAAAAAGACTCCCTCTGGGACTCCAACCCTCAGGCTCTGATCTAATTGGTCTGGGTATTGGTTTTTGTTTATTTGTTTTTAGCACTTCTTGGGTAATTTATTTGTGCAGCCATGGTTCGGGACTATTGTCCAAAACACTCCCACAGATCCTTTTGGAACTTTAATCCTATTAAGGCCCAACTTTCCTACGTCCTCAAATCATTCTCTTCCCCATCCCTTTACCTGTTCACATGAACTGCAACTGGATCTTCCCAGTAGTAACATGGAATTCCTCACAATCCCCACAGTGAGGACCACAGCCTCTAACTCACCTCAAGGCCAAGAGGGAAAAGCGCCAATACTTCTTATGCCCAGGACCAAGTCTGGGGCATCGCTCTACTTCAGGGGCTAGTTCACTGTTCTGTTATTATTTTTTATGTTACTGTGTTATCCAGTATCCATTTCGGGTCCTTAGTGCAGAGTACTCTTAGTATACAGGGCAGCTATGCGAAACACAGAGTTTACCCTTGTATTATTACTTATGAATTATTCTATTACTTTCCATGTGAACAACTGTAAACCTACTTTCTTCCCACCCTGTACATCCCCATTCTAGCAGTACCTGCCTCACGGGTTTTTTTCCTATTCATTTTATTCCCAACATCCTCTCAAATTCAAAGTCAACACTTAATCTCAGTTCCTTTTGCTCAAATTTATTCTAGTAGCCTTCACATCATCTCACATTATCTATGCACCAGTGCAGACATGATCTAGATTTCATCTTCATTAGCAACTGCACCAAGATCTCCACCTGTGAAACTCCTCTTTTTCTGGCCACAATCATCTCTCATGACCCTCCATCTCTCACACACAAGGTGCGTGCAAACTTCCCTTTGTTCTTAAGGAAGAACTCCCTCAACCTGTTGTGGTCTCTTGGCCCACAAGCCCTCATCTGCTCATAGCCATATCTACAGGGAACTCACTCCCACTCTGAAATGTCTTGCCATCTGGAACTGCTGCAGGTTTTTCTAATTTCCATAGGTAAAGAGGACCTCCACCAAACAAGCCCTCAATTTCTACTTCCAAGCTGAGTTGTTCTAAAAAAATCATAAATTGCTAATTGAGTCTCATAATCTCAAGATATCTGCCCTAAACTATACTTCCCTCTGCTTCTCCACAATCCTTTCATTTATCTCTCTTGACTCATCAGATTTCACAGAGCACTGCTTCCAAATCCTCCTGCAGTCCCTGAGTGTATCACAGACCCTTCATATTTCGCAATGACCTAACTCCTATTGAACCACCCAAGGGACACTCCCTCAGCTGCTATCCTTTACCCTTAAAACCTTTTATTTCAGCATCTTCTCACCTACTCTGGGCTCTGATGAAAAGGAGCCCCACTTACTTGTTTGTACTTTAATCCAACTCTATCACCTCCATCTCAGTACAGCAAATGATGCCCCAAAGTGGGTCTCCCCAGACTCAATGTTTTCTTACAGTTATTGCTGTGTACTGGGGGTTCATTCTGAAATGCAGAAACCCTCCCAGAATGTTGGACTAGGACAGAGAGGGAAGCCCAGTGGAGCACTCATTCTCAGGGCTAAGGACCCCACAGTCTGGAGAGCTATTAGGAAAAGACGATGCCTGGAGCTGAACATAGCGAGATTATTAATTCCCACTTATTATCATATGTGCTTATACTGTTCATGTGGATGGGGACTGGAGGGATGAGACCACCACATTTGTTTCAAGTCACCCTGCTGCCTTCTTTTATCTTCCCACCCACCACGTTCAGTTCAGCCACTTTCATAACAATTTCCCTGAGTTTTGTTAAGCCTGGGGGCAAAAATGATCACCTGAGACTTAAAAGCTGCAATTTAGCAATTTGGAAGAACTGATGTAGAATTAGAATGCTGGCAGGAGCTGCTGGAGTAAAAGTCAAGGCTGCTGAGAGACAGATGAATTCTTTTATACACCTTTCACGGAGGTGTTTTTTATTTTGCTGTTTACATGCTTGAAGAAGCAGTGAGAGCCATGTGCAAGTTGAGTTCACGTACTAAGATAAAGTTGCTGAGAATTGTGAGAGCAGTTTAGAACCAATTCCATGCTCAAAGAGAGGTCACATTTATTGAAAATGTTGTAT